GACGGGCAGCTACGGTCCGTGCTGTGCCGGACAAGTGGGCGACAAGCTTTATTATATATGCGTGTAAACACGCATATAACAAAAGTATCACTTCAACACATTGCCTCTTATGAGCATAATATACAGGGTGGCCCATCGAAAACGTTCCGCAAGGCATAACGGCCGGGGTAATTTTTTTTTTCAGAAAATTCAAAAACACGTCAATTTTGTTTGTGAGGGGGACAACTTTTGCCCCAAAAATGATTGCTAAATTTTCAACCCTCTAAGCGGGGGTGTCATCCCCAATTTTTTTTCAAATGGAAAGGGGGGTCAAGTGGTACCGCAATAAAAAGGGCTTTCTATTCTCTATATTTCCCCGCCTCGTTTTTGAAAATCGGTCGAGTCATTGAGAAAATATGAAGGATTGAAATTTGAAAAGTTTATTTAAACATTTATCAGAGTAAATGATAAGGATAAATTTCTTCGACCAATTTGCTGTTTTTTCTTATTATTTCGAGATGTTTACGCATTTTTTCACTTGACACAAGGTTGAACGATCCGGTGCGGTAGTTGCTAGATAGCTGTTCTGTGACTTATGCGTTGAAGTTCTTTTCAATATCGTTAAACTTTTTAACAATTATTATGGTGTGCTCACTTACAGAAAAAATGGAAATAATCGAACTCTATTTTAAAAATAATGAATGTGGCAATCGGGTTGCGCAGATATTCAATGAACGCCATCCTGACAACCACCGTTATGGCAAAATTGTTCGCGAGTTAGTAGCAAAATTGCGCGAAACTGGTTCTGTTATGAATAAAAAGAGACAGAGGGAAAATCATGTACTGGGCTGAAGACAACCCCAGGGTTTTTCACGAGGTGCACACACAAAACCCTCAGAAATTGAACGCATGGGCTGGTATTTTTGGAAATTCTCTTGTGAGTCACTTTAACGATATTGAGAAGAACTTCAACGCACAAGTCACAGAACATCTATCTAGCAATTACCACACCTGATCGTTGAACCTTGTGGCAAGTGAAAAAATGCGTAAACATCTAGAAATAATTAGAAAAAACATCAAATTGGTCGAAGGAATTTATCCTTATCATTTACCCTGATAAATGTTTAAATAAACTTTTCAAATTTCAATCCTTCATATTTTCTCAATGACTCGACCGATTTTCAAAAACGAGGCGGCGAAATATAGAGAATAAAATGCTCTTTTCATTGCGGTGCTACTTGAGCCCCCTTCCCATTTGAAAAAAATTGGGAGATGACACCCCCGCTTAGAGGGTTGAAGATTTAGCAATAATTTTTCGGGCAAAAGTTGTCCCCTCACAAACAAAATTGACTGTTTTTGGATTTTTTGAAAACCACCCTGTATTCTTCATTATACATTTTTTGGGAAAGTGCGCTATAAAATCGTATTTGCGGCATAATAAGTTTTTAAAAAAATGAAATAATAAACCCATATCCTTATTTAAAAGAAATAAAGTTGATATTTCCAGAAAAAACAAAAGGTTGATGGTTTTGGCCTTGCTGCCAAATTGCAACCGCAATGCTGGATTTGCGTCTTGCGTAAGGGTACGCACACAAAGAAAGCTCATTAATCAGCGCTTATTTCCATAGAAAACAATCGTCAGAGCCAGCGCCGAAAACCACAATTTGTACACTGGCAAGCTTACAACAAGCGCCGACAAGTTTTTTCTGCGTGTAGGTGTATTTAAAGCTAGTATGGGAACTATCGAATGAATACTATCGAAACATTCGATAGTTGCAATTCATTCGAATAATTCGATAGTTGTAAGAAAACATTCGTTGAAAACTATTCGAATAAAAATTATCGAATAGATCCGTCATCTGTCTTGAAATATTGTATTCTAGTAATTCGGCAGCAAAAACCATTCATTTATAAAATTCATTCATTTATGAAATTCATTCATTCGTCAGGATCGATTATAATAAAATATTAACTGAATTTTAGTTGTCGCCCGGCGACGTAGGTTTCCAAACCCGACAGCGGTCGGTGGCAATGCTATGAAAGAAGCCGGCATCTTTGATTTTTTGCGGAGTCAGATATAGATAACGACACATTATTTTTTTTATTGAGGTGCTAGTATTTACACAGAAAATACATTATGAAGGGCGCTGTTGCCATATTTTGGTATTAGTTGATATTAGCAAAGAATATTATTGTTTGGCTTTAGTTAGTTAGGGATAGTATGTCTATATATTCTGAATTTTTTTTTATTAATATCCTGTTGTTACACTGCAATAATACTTGTTATTTTGGATGTAAGAAAATGATTTTTAATGTTTTTAAGCAAAGACTGGTTTAATAAATAATAATAACAGTAATAATTTGTTATACCTATTAACAACAAAATTTAAAATGATTTAATATAAATATTTTTTTTAAGTATTAGCAAAATATAAACAACAAATTAGATGTCAAAATTATTTATATTAGATCCTATTTAAAAATAATATAGTCTCTAAATTTTTTGGCAACGTTGGTTTATTGAATAATAATAATTACAGAACTAATTTGTTATATTAACAACAAATTTTAAAATCATGAAATATAAACATTTATTAATTTTCTAATCATGCAGTGTAATGGAACGAAAATATAAATAAAAAATTAGAAATCAAAATTATTTATATTAGGTGCTTCATATTTCTATTTAAAAATTATATTTACTTTTACTGGCATTTACTTTAAAAAATAAATGAAATATTTCTTCGCAAAAAACTACATGTAAGAGAATTAGCATAAACAAAATACAAAATCGTTAACTTTTTTTTAAAATTGGCACCTGTAAAACTTTCATTTTAATTTTCTCACCCCATAGTTTGAGTTCGATAACCATTTACTTAACCACATTACTTTAATATGATTATTAAGTTCAACTAATTCATATTATTAAAACATCTAAAATACAAATATGTACTTTTAAAATTAATTTAAGTTCATCTCATCTCTCTTAAAAATTGCTACTTCTCAAAATTTCCCATTAAAAAATAGACCATATACCATATAAAATTAAATAATTGAAAGATCGGACTACGGAAAACCACACAACTTTTCGGAAAAATTTTGACCACCTGCACATGCACACAATCGTCAATAAATAAAATTAAAAAATAACTACTATTTTAGTATTTTAACTATTTTAGTAAACGCAAAAATAGCACAGTATTTATACGGTGAAGTTATAAAAATTTGGAAGAACTAATAATGCACTGACGCATACAAAAATCAAACGAATACTAAATTTCATTTATCAAAAGCATTCGATAGTCGTGGCTCAACGATAACCATTTAGTCGCACGGCGAGGTTGTCACATATGCTTTACTATACAAATGAATGAATGATTTTATTCGAATAAAACCATTCGATAGTTGAAATCATTCATTCATTAACCATTCGATAGTCTAATTCATTCGATAGTTCCCATCGCTATTTAAAGCTCTTTTTAATTATATTATTGGCGCTTACTTTTTACTTTCATTGTGTACTATTGAGACGACTTGTAGGCTGGTAATAAGCGCTGATTAACCAGCCTCTTTGTGTCCATTCCCTTTAGGGTACGCAATTTTAATTTTGATCGCTTGTTGTCTGTGCTGGGTCTGCATATTGTGGTTTTTAGCGAGGGTTACCTAGCTTGTGTGTGCGTGCCACAAGATTCCTACAAGAGGAATGTAGTCAGGTGATGTGTGAGGTTTGACTCCATAACTTGTGCTTCTTGTGTCCATCTCTTGTGCTTCATGTACAAGCGTGTGCAGTGGCTTAGGGATGATCTTTGACAGCTGGTCTATCCATCGGGAGGGTGAGCGGCCTTTGGCTTTTTTTCCTGAACCTGGCCCTGTGTAATGAGTTTCTCCATACAGTCAGTATCCCTCCTCATAACGTGACCGAAATATTTAAGTATCCGTGACTGAATAGAAGTTGAGAGACGTTCTGTGATGTTTTAAGTTCTATTAAAGAATAATAATTATAGTGTAATACATGCTTATTGCTTTTTAGAGAATATGACGTTGTTGTGGTTGGTGGAGGAATTGTGGGTGCAGCTTCAGCAAGGGAACTTAAAATACGCCACCCTAAGCTTAAAATGGCTATATTAGAAAAGGAAAGCGAATTAGCAAAACATCAAAGCGGTCATAATAGTGGAGTTATACACGCGGGTATTTACTATAAGCCAGGTAATCAACCTCATTAACTTTATTTAATGAACTGCTCTACTTGTTCTATTTTAGTATTCATAGTATTATTAATTATCCGTCAGCGTAATGTGGTAATGTGGTATTAAAAAAATGTTAAAATTGCATTTTACTTTAAATATGTACTTAATATAAACATATCTATATTTAACCTCAGAACCAATAAAAATTGTCTATATATAGGGTGAGTTTTCTATGATGTTCTCTTGAGGGAGATCTGAAACTACTGGAGATAGAGAGTCGTTTAAATGGGGGAATTGCAGCAGTTTTAGGGTCATAAATATGCGCCTTTCAGATTTTTGAAAAGTTCATGGCTTACTATATATTTCTGAAAAACAAATTTTGGCTATTTTAAAATTTGTCCCAATTCCATTACAATCTATTTTATACAAAGTGTTCAGATAAAAAGTTGTAGATAATCACATTCCTAATGAGTTTGTGTTCTCCGATTTTTTATAAAACCTGTCATTTTTGACATATGACACAAACATATTTTTTTTAAATGGAAACCATAGTTGGCTATGACTTCATAAAAAGCGCCATTTTTTAAGCTTTTCAGCAATATAAGCTATAATATGTTTCTTTCACATAATTACTGAGTTATAGCCAATTCTTATCTTTCTTGACTCGTTATAGCCAATTCTTATCTTTTTCGAAATATCTAGTAAGCCATGAACTTTTTCGAAAATCTGAAAAGCGCATATTTATGACCCCACAAAACTGCAATTCTTTCCCCATTTAACTGACTCTCTATCTCCAGTAGTTTCCGAGATACCCATAGAGAACATCGTAGGAAACTCACTAAGAAACTACTAGTTTTAATATTTTACAACCATAGCAATAATCAATCGTTGTTCATCAACAATAAAATTCGTAAAGTAACCACTCCCGAACTTGTAACGTCACTTTCTTTCGACACTGTTTTTCCCATTTTTGATTATTATTTTAATGTACTTAATTCAAATTCGCGTCCACACCGTTACTTAGGGTGCCCAACGGATATAGACGATTTGAGTCCGTAGGCAGGGTCGCCATGTAAAAATGTGTTTAGGGTCATGTAAATGATTACTCGTTTGCTGCCATACTAATACTAATTTATTCTACCTTTGAATAATATAAATTTATAATGTTCGGATTGATTGATTGGATACGTCTCATAAAAGCCGTTGACGTTCTGTATTAAACAAAACGACAACGATTTCAATTTTTTTCAAGAAAAACCTTGTACAATGTACCTAGAATGCTTAGGAGGGAGTTAGTGCCCGCGACCTTACAGATATACATATTGTGTACTTCCTTTCTTGTTCCCCTCTACTCATCATACAGGCTCAGGGCTTTAACAAAGCCAGTATCTGAGACGGCTCCACAGAGGCCAGCTTCCATTCTCGACATCATCAGCCGTACCAAAGTTCATGGCACGAACAGTCATCGTCTCGGCGCACTCAGTTCCCCATTTTCCCCACAGAATCTGCATTCGCCGTTGTTTCTCAGCTTCACTGAGGTGTTCGTTGAGGAGACAGTGTCCTGTTAGAAACCCCGTGACAATCCGAAGATTATTTTTACTTAAATAAAGGAAAATCTTTGATTTTTCTCGGTCGTAAGTTCTCACGAACTCTTTCGAGTGTCTTAGACTGTTGGAGAACACCCCATTTCAGGTTACGGTGGAGTCTTTCAAGTTATTCAGTTCTGCTTTAAGTTGGTTTCTACTTGGGAAGCAGAAAGGTCCTGGTCCGGGGGTCCTAACATCATCATCTATCCCTTGGTGAAAAAAACCTTATAATCGTGTTTCTGGGGTCGAAATATAGTACCTACTCCAAAAATATTTGAACATATTTAAGACTTACTCTGTATTAGTATAACTGTTTCTTCTAATATGACAAAGAAAATTAGAGGATGAAATATAAAATATATTCAGAATCGACAATTAAAGAAGTTTTAATTTTGTAGGATCCCTTAAAGCAAAATTATGTGTGTAGAAGGTTTACAACTGATGTACAAGTATTGCGACCAAAAGAAAATACCCTACAAAAAGGTAGGAAAACTCATTGTGGCGACCAACGAAGTAGAAGTGAAGAGACTTGCAGATCTTCATGATAGAGGTAAGCATAATATTTCCTCTAAAAAATATTTTATATTTCTTTTTTATTTCTGGTAAATTCTAAGTAGTTTATCACTGTAGGTCTAAAACTGATTTGCTGTTTCAAAATATGCCTTGACCAATAATACTGATTTTGGTAAGCACTTCATTCAGATGTTTGCGGATTGAGGGTTACATGTATTTGTAATTTGTTGATATATTTTTTTGTATTATTTTACGTATACCAAAAGTCGTGACGAGTGAGACTGATCTTGGTCTTGTAGACTTGGTCTTGCACAAAAAACAAGACCGATAAAGCATATAAAACTCTTGCGGTCTTGGATTTTCTTTCTGATTTTTTGTTAGGCTAAACTTCATTCAGATCTAACTATCTCCTGATGAAAATTAGCAACACGCGTTCAGTAAAATAAAGTGACGTTTTGGTGTATTGTGGTGAATTACTGTTTTATTTTGCTGTTGTAACACCAAAGATTCCTACTGTAATCTTATTTTATCTTTTTAGATAATAATTAAGATGAGTTCTTGTAAATGCAAAAAAGGTTGCAACGCAGCCTGCAGCTGCAGAAAAGCAGGATTACACTGTTCGGTAGTGTGCGGTTCGTGCCAGGGAAGAGCGTGTTCAAATTCTGAAATAACTCTAGAAGATCCAGGGGACGACGAAGAAATCGATTCTCGATTAGAAGAATTAATGACCAACAAAAATATCGAAGACATAGACATTAAACAAAAACCAGATGAACAGTTTGATGAAGAATATATTGATGAGTCAATTGATCAACCTTCTATGTCAAAAAAAGCAGACGGTGAAAATACATAATACTTATAAAGCATATCATGTCACATGGATATAAAAATAGAACATTTGCAACGGCAAGAAAGTAGATTAGGACTATAGGGGAAATCACTTAAAAAAAGTGTGCCGAGTGCTCTGCCGCCAGGTGGTGTGGAAACGAGCACAACAAAAACACAAATTTGTACTGGCAAATTATTCAAATCTTCATAGAATCAGTGTCTCATATTAAATGAACCACTAGAAAATATATGCTTTGTATTTAAGCGCCTTTATCTCGTTAACCTGTTCATGCACGAAACTGGTGAGCAGGACCTTTTTCGTAGAGAATTATTAATAGCTTTCTTTTTGGTCTCTTGCAAATTTTCTGTACAGTGCACCCAAACCGAGTTATTTAAAAAAAAAACATAAAAATGTCATAATTTGACAGAATTTTTTTAAATTTAGTAGATTATTCAACAAAGCAAAACAAAGAGAATAAGTGTTATTGCAGCTTGCCCCTAATTATTTCCACCTAAAACCACTTACTGGTCTAAAGGAAATATGACAAAATTCAAACGTTCAAAAAATAAAAAAAGTTTCAAAGTTTGATAGCTGTTGATTCTACCTTTTAAACGAAGTTTGAATCTATCAATCAATGATACGCTCATGAAATCTATCTTAAGAGCGTTAAGACTTGGAAAGAAAATTGGGGGACTTTCGAGGCGGAATATCACGAAAATTACTAATTCAACGTAAAAAATTATAAGAACCATTTTTGGAGGTAATTATCTAAGCTTCATTTTTTATTTGAAGAAAAATTTTGTAAATTGCATATTTTGGCAGATATTTTAAAAAACTGATTTTGACTCAGTGTTACAATGTTTTCAAAAGGTACACAATCCGCCTGAAAAGTCTCGGTCGACGAATTAAGCCGTGGTTTCAACCTTCAATTCATCATCATCATCATCATCATTTTTAGCTTATTCAACCATTTCCAATTATGGTATCCCTCCCTCACATACTCTCTTTGTAGTTGGATCCATTGTTGTATATTGTTGGCTATCATGGTCCCATCCTCTAGGTCTCTTTAATTCCTTGCGTAGGTACCATGCTGGAATTATTTTGGTCCATCTGTTGCCTGCCCTTCTTGCCAGCTGTCCTGCCCATTGCCAGTTGAGCGATTTCATTCTGTGGATGACATCTATTATCTGAATCTTTTGTCGTATCCACTCTATTCTTTTAAGGTCTTTCTTGGTTATTCCCGGCATATTTCGTTCCATTGAGCGTTGTGCGATTTATAATACACATTTTTATTTACTTACAAACAGGTGTTTACCCGACATTTGCATAAAATTTCAAAAGAAGCAATACTGATTTAATATAAAAAAATCATCAGAAAAATATTGTTTCTTTCTTTTAAGTTTCATTTGCATAAAACTATTTAAAAAAATAGTATTAATTTAAAGATTTTGTAAGTAGAAATGCTTTTAGTAAAAGTCTATTAAAAATATGCAAGAGTCTGACGACAAGACCAAGACTGGACACTGCAAAACCATTACTATTTATTAAACCTCAAGACCAAGACCAAGGGGGTCTTGCAGTTTAATTAATAGTATATATGTCTTGCAATTGCTCATCACTATCCAAAAAACTTTTAATTATACACTTTTTATACGTTCTGAAATTAATTTGTAATATATTAAAAATACTGCTTGATTTCCAGCTATACAAAATAAAGTTCCTGATATCAAACTACTGAACGGAGTAGAAGAAATTCAAAAAATTGAACCCTATTGTGTGGGACTTCAAGCCTTGTGGTCACCTCATACAGGAATTATTGACTACACATTGGTCACTAAACAGTATGGAATAGACTTTAAAGAACAAGGTGGAGAAATCCATCTTAATTTCGAAGTAATTTATTATCTATAGTATACTATTTTTGTATGGTAATTTTAGATAGAGCCCTTTTAGGTCAACGGTTTTGAAAATTCCAAAGACAATAACTATCCAGTATTAATTAAATCTACAGATGGGCAACAAGTCAAAAGTAAATACGTGTTAACTTGCGGTGGACTTCATTCAGATAAATTAGCAGAATTATCAGGTACGTCTAAAATTATTTATTTATTTATTTGTAATCCTAAAGATCTATTTTGCTGCATATTATAATTTCTTGTGTGAGGCTTTACGGTTTCATTTGCCAATAACCAATATATAAATTTATCCATAAATCATACAATAACGGAAATTTTATTCATTCATATGGTGGCGTTTAATTAATGTGATATGTTATCCTTTTGGGATAAAACTCGGGATAAAATTACTAGATTCCACTCCTGGAATACTGAAATAAAAAATACGAATATTCTCGAGACTCTCGCAGACGCTACGGTGGGGTATTAGCATGAAAAAGGTGATCGAAATTCGAAAAAGCAAATGTGTTTAAGATTTCCCAAAAAAAGATAAATGATAAGTTAAATCATCTCTGCCATGAAAGGCGTTGCTATGGGTGTGTTTAGTTGCATTCATTTGTTTCAACGAAACATCAAAGTTGTTACTTCTCACAGATAAGAGATAAATGGCTAAATTTTATGTTTAAAATTATAAATTGTTGTTGTTCTTGTTCTCTTTTTACGTTTATATTATTGTCTTGATTGAAAATGGCTCAGCAAGCTGCAGGTATGTATTCTACAAAAACGTATTATTTATTTTGATATTCTCTATACTAACGATTTTTTTTGCATCTAAAAGTTAGGCGTTCAGAAAATTTGATTAAATCTGTGACATTTTTATTATACTTAGAGATTTAGTTGCGCATTTCGAAGAATTCAGCATATTGTCTATATACGTTTTACTTAGTAAACATTGGGTTTTCATACAGTAAAATAAGATACTGCGACTTTTTGCGACTTTGCTGATAAAATGAGAAAAACATTCTTGGTTTCCTCTAATTTGCCAATCAGTGATATACTAAAGCGAGGTGTAAACCGCGATGGGGCTGATTACCAACTTTAATATGGAAAACTAATATTGCGCCATCTATGATCAATTGATCAAAACTATGATTTAAGGTTATTGTGGTTATTGTTTTATTTCCTTTCAGTGTTCGTAGTTCGTAAATATGTGTGTCAATTGAAAAGAACGAACAAATTTCGAGTGGTTTTTATCTTAAATATTACTTGTATTGAATTAATTAAATTAATTAAGTAAATTAAAAAAGTAATATTGATAAAAACCGAAATTTGTTCATTCTTTTCAATTGACACACATATTTAGAGACACTGAAAGGCAATGAAACAATAACCTTAAATTATAGTTTTGATCAATTGATCATAGATCCAAAATTTCAGAGGGCGACAGCAAAAAAATTCAACTTGGGAAATAACGGAGACCCTAGTCAACACCCGGTACATTGCTTTTCACAGTTAATTCTTGTGCTGACTTTTAAGCCAGAGAAATACATTTTAAACCAATTTAAATTTTTTTAACCAAATCGAAGCTGATTCAAACCCTCTTTCAAACTATATTATGGTATTTAGTGTTTCCTATACCTATCTAGCTCAGATTTTGAATAAAAGGCCATTTTTCAATAAAATGCCATGGCAAGTCTATAGTGACAGTTAGTAGCTATTTTAAAAATTGAAATTAGTTTATGGGCATAAGTTTATTTCTCTACTTTTAAACTCAGCACAAGAATTAATTCTGAAAATTATTGTACAGGGTGTTATTCTATTAATAACCTTTTCTATTGTAGCATGCATATTTAAATATCTCAAAAACCAAATATTATAAACATATTTAACCACAGCCAAAGCCTTTTTGGGTCAAAGAATCCAAAAATTCAATAAAATACCGGGTGTTCTGTAAAAAAATATAACTTTGGTATGGCGCATTGCGTCCCCACATGTACCCATAAAATATGCTGTTTCTACATCTTTCCGTTTTCGCATAATCAACCGGGGCGAGTGAGGTGCGCAACCCTGTACATTCATTATTTTTCTGTGTTTTTTAAAACACTTTTGCCTGTCATTACCTGTAAACTATGTATTTCTTTTTATAATAATAATATATTTATTTATAATAATAATTTTCAGCTTCATTCAGAACCTCAAACTAGAATAAATTACTGGTTTCAATAATTATACTCTATATTTAAAAGTTTATATCATCACAATGCATAAAAGACAATTAAAATTAATAGAATATCCTAGCAACAGCATGCGGTAGTCAGTAGTATCCACAGAGAAAGCCTTCTAATTAGCTTATAAAACAATGAACTTTGTTTAACCACAATTTTTCTAGGATGATAATCAAAGGCCAAAGTGATATTATTTGCATATCTTAAAGTATTATTAGTGGAAAAAGTTAGAAGTTCTTTAGCTTTCTCTACTAACTTAAAATTAATACCACCAATTTTGACGTTAATTCAATTGAATGCTTACTGGCTGCAATACGGCATTGCTCAGCATTACGGATGAGATATTAGAGGCATGGGATGAGGGCAAATTAACAGTATTAGTTTTGTTGGACTTTAGTAAGGCCTTTGACACTCTTAGCCATAAAATCGTTGTTTCAATTTTGCAGAGTGTTGGACTTTCAGAACAGGCTGTTCACTTACTCAAGGAGTTTTTAAAAGACAGAAGTCAAGTAGTAACTTATGGCGGTGAACAGTCTGCCTTCAAAGCAGTCACTAGCGGTGTACCACAAGGCTCGATTTTGGGCCCTCTGTTATTTAGTATTTATACTTCTCATTTTCCGAATACATTACTGTCTAGCAAATATCACCTTTACGCTGACGATACACAAATTTACTTGTCATTTTCTCCTGAAGAAAGTATTCAAGCTATCTCGGCATTAAATTATGATTTGAATCAATTTTCTCTCACGGCAAAAAATCATGGTCTTTTTTTAAACCCTAAGAAGTCTGTAGTATTAGTTTTTGGTAAGGGTGGTGAAGGACAAAAGTTTTTGGATTCCTTTTCGAACTCAATTGAAATAAATAATTCACCTTTACTGATAAAAACGAGCGCAAAAAATTTAGGAGTTATCATGGATCAAAATCTCAGATTTCAAGAGCATATAAATGCATCCCTTCAGAAGCTTATTTAATTTGAAACTCTCTTTTCCAAATCGTCATTTAATTATAATTTAGACAATATGAAAAAAACAATGTTATGCGAGGCACTGGTATTGTCACATTTAGAATTTTGGCGAATGTTCTCTATGGAACCTTGCATTACAAAGCGAATTGGCAATAGTTCAAAAATTGCAGGAATTCTTGATACGTCTAATTTTTGAGATCCGGAAATATGACCATATTAGTCAAGCATATAAAGCATTCAGGAGCAGCGTGGTTATGACCAGCATGAACGGAAGTGGCGCCAGCCTTCATCTTTAGGCCCCACCTTCTTACTGCTTTGCTGCCGACAAAAATTAATTAAACCAATCAACCACCATATCTTTACGAGAAAATTCAGTTTCGCACAGACATTCATAATATTAACATTAGATTTAAGGAAGTAACGATTCCTATTACCAAAAGTAAATAGTAGTAACGAGTCCATAAAAGTAACTAAAAGTAAAAAATAAATTTAAACGACTTCTCTAAAATATTAACAGAGTCTAGGCTACATCTTGAAGAGAATTGTTCTTCAGCACATGGTTGGACAGCATAAATAAATGGATTATAATTATAATGAGCATGTTCAATGTTAAGTTTGCTTGTCATATATTTGATTTTGTTTAATATATTTTTTTTTTTTTTTTTTTTTTTTTTTTTTTTTTTTTTAGTAAATTTATTTTTATACTGTGATGCACAATTTTATACGGTTTTTTTTTTTTTTTTTTTTTTTTTTTTTTTTTCGATAATTTAATTATTGTTAACAAATATTTCTCTCGGTGGTTATAAACAGAGGGTAGATATCTAATCTGCTCAACTGAACCTCGCCCTTTTGTACCACTTACTTTTTTTTCTCTCTTTCTATTTATGTATATGGCGCATCAGTTGTACAAATAAATAGCCTTTATTATTACGTATTCATTATTAATTTAACACTTTATTGCGAATTCTGAGGTGAAGCCCTTAAATCACAAAATATCGTGGAAAATGTGCTTTAAATCCCCTTACTTTAGTGTATGTCCTAGGGAATCCCCCAGAATCCGATTTAGATGTAATACTTGCTTTTTTTAAGCGCTGGAAAAAGCGGCAATTGATCAAGGGAATCATTTACCCCGTTCCCGATCCTCGTTTTCCATTTTTAGGAGTCCATTTCACTCCAAGAATGGACGGAAGCGTTTGGTTAGGCCCAAATGCTGTTCTAGCTTTTAAAAGAGAAGGATACACGTGAGTACATTATGTACCTTTAGACTCAAACGAACCCCAAATTCAATATTTCTATAGTACAGGATATCAAGCTATCAAACTAATGTACGGCCTTATTCCTCATCCGGATTTTTGAAAAACTGGCCCCTTTTAAATTTTGGGTTCGCGTCAGAGAGGCTGTGAAGATCTATCCCTCTTTACAGGTTAAACAATTGCAACGATTTGTTCCATCGATTACGTCGGATGATGTTATTTCAGGCCCTGCAGGAGTTAGGGCACAAGCTTTAGATGCTGAAGGTATGACTTTTAGCGATGCAAATTGGTCTGCAAATTTGCAAATGCAAGATGCAGACCAAGATTCCCTTAGTCTTGGTCTTGTCTTGCAGAGGCATTGTCTGTTTCTTGCGTCTTGCTGATGACCTCTTTGCGTTGAGTGTTAGCACTTGGTGTTAATAGATTGCTCATACTTAGCAATCTTACAACATATAAAAAACAATAAAAGTTTAGCAAACCATTACCAAATTTAAAATTTTCTAGACAAATAATAACTTCGTTGAAAAATTAGGGCCTACTTTTACATTTTCTTACCAACCTACTATCGCTACGTTAAAAAAATTATGATAAAAGTTTTTTTTTTGTTATATTTTAGGATTATTTTCTACATTATTATCGGTTTCTAAAATATCTCAAATAACCAAATATTATAAACATATTACTAAGGATCTTCTGTGATTTAACCCTGTATAATAACGCCTTTTTTAACAAAAAAAAGCTATAAAGTGTGAGGCAATCATTGTATTCCAGAACCCGAGTTTTTCCAAAACCTGAAATAAAAAATTGCATGGGATCCCCGCGTCGGTTAAAAAAAGTTTAAGTTTGCCTTTTGTTATCTCAAAACATATCAGCTAATTTGAAAATCTAAAAATACTATCAGCATAGCCCTACATAAAGTTGATATAGAATGTGCAATTAGTTTTTGATTTCAAAAACATAGTAACTAACAGGAAAAAATTTAAATGATTCAAAAAAAAGTCAATTTTCCAAAAAAAGCCTCAGCCAATCCTTGAAGATTTTTAAAACTTGATGGTATCTTAGTGAACATCCCAAAACGCAACTTTGCCCCAATTTAAACCATGTTCGTATCTATAACGATTACCGAGAAGATACAATGCTTCGTTTACCTCGAATTGTTAGCACCTATCTAATTATAGTTTGATTCAACGCAGTATTCTAGATTGAATATTTTTAAGAAAAACGCTGGAATTATTATAATTTTTTATTTATTTATTAATTATCTTTGCAACTATCGAAATATATTTTGAGCTCATCAAGCCTATTTTCAGCTTTCATTTATTCCCCAGAAAACTTCCCAATAACTTTAATTACATTTTGTGCAAAATGATTCATAGCGACAAAGCGATATAACAAGCTATGTAAAGAAATATTTGTAGAGTATGACTCCTGATTGTCTTTACAAAGGGAAAATATTTTTATGTATTGACATTTTTAGAAAAACATTCCAATCATCGAAATTTTTCTGCCAAAAAGTAAATTAAAAATAAAAATAATCCATTAAATAATCCAACACAAGTAAAAAATATAAAATAATATTTTCTTTATTTTTGTTTAAAATTGAATCTTGTGAAGAAAAATTTATTTTGGACACTTTCCAATGTGCCAAATCACGTTGATTTCGGTCAAAAATATTTTTTGATTTGACGTCGCGCGCCAACTTTTGTTGATTTTTCCCATAAAATGTAATTTTCTTTTTAGGTAAATTCCTTTTTGATACTGAGGACGTTCTGTGTTCGATATGAGTACAAACGGACTGGGCGAGGATTCAGTACGGAAGGTTCGGTACGCAACTGCCGGACAAATGCCCCAGAGTCCTGGGGCCAACCCAAGCCTCTTTGCCATTCGCCAAAATGTGCCGATAAACTCGAAGTGAATTCAAATTCATCAAAGAATCGTCATAAAAAGAAACACAGCTTGAATACGAAATATAGCATGCTAAACTTAAGGCTTGGGAGTAGAACTTTACCTACAAAAAAATCGATCTTCTCTGCCTGGGTGG